TTTAAAGGCCGGCGACAGCCAGAACTTTCTTTTTCGTCCAGATAGCACTCTGAATTCAGTCGTTTTTACGATTTTCCCGATTCAACCCGACTAGGTTGGTTCCGATCTTCGCTAGAATAATTTGGCTTTCCTCTCCGTCCAGCCAGCTTCCCTCCACCGTGGCCGCTTTCGGTTGTGTTGACGGTTGTCGGGGGCCCTTGTTCCAGCTCTCAAGAACTTCCCCCCCTCACTTTCCCTTCCACACACAAAACAAACGCGCATTTCCATTAACGTCATCATCAGATAAAAATTTTTAATTTAGTTATAGCTTTTCAGTCCTTTAAAAAATGGTCTAGGCCTTGGTTTTTCCGATTTTCCAGGAGCGCGAAAAATTTTTAGCTGAAATCTTGGCAAAAACACTAGTTGATTCTGAGTTTCGAAGCTTATGCCTAATTCCATACCTTGAAAACGGAATTCTTGCCATCTTGTAGAAGCATGGCTTCCGCTAAAATTTGAGGACTCCCCGGCAGCTTCAAGTACTCCGTCCCACTTCAACCTCCCTAACCAGCCGTAATCCCCTTATGTACCTAGTAGGCTTGGATACCTCAGGGGTTCTTATTTTGAGACCCTTCTTCTAGTCATTTCCATAGATTTCTCCCCACCATTTTCATCTCTCATGTTGATATTTGCATTTGGTGGGGTGGTGCCGCCGCCGGCCCGTGACCTTCTCCCCCTCCTCGCATTCGAACGGGCCTCCTAGCCGCTCCACAGAAATTTGCATGGACTCTCAAGGCGAGCCTCACGAATCTCCGCTCTTGTCTTCTGCTCGCTTTTATTGCCGATCCCGCACTAGGGAGATGAATCGAGATCTAGCAGATATCTTTGGATGGCGAGAGTCATTATCTCTTTGGAGAGAGAGGGAGAGCGAGAGAGAGGGGTATCTAAAACTCGGTCTGTATCTAATTTCTGGTTTTACACGTATCTGTGACATGGCAAATTCCGGGCAAAGAACGCGGATCTCTTGATCTACTCGACCCATTCTTGAGTGCATCGGAAAACAAAAAAGACGAGCTCACTCAATCGGCGCCGGCAAGACTAGAAAGTAGAAATTCCTGGATTTCCTAGACTATCGTCTCTCTCTCTCTCTCTCTCTCTCTCTCTCTCTCTCTGAGGTCGCTGGAAGCAAGAGTTTTTGTAAAATCAGGAAGCAAAACATCTCTAGAGCTTGAAAATCCCCTGTCCATAACGTTGTCATCCCTTTAGGAAAATTTTGGCCAACTAAAAAGTCTCTTTTTTGCGCATTTGACATCGTAAAAACTCGTTTTCCTGGATTCCCCAAAATCCAATAGCTATCGGCATAAATTCCAATCCGTTCAAGCCCTATTTCGCGATTCGAATCGGTTCGCTAGAAACCATTCTCTTTCCCCCGATTCGAAACCAGCGTCAAAACTTTCCCGCCGTCACCAGATGTGGATTGGCCATTTCGGATTGGTTTCGCTCTCTCTCTCTCTCTCTCTCTCTCTCTCTCTCTCTCTCTTTCTCTCGCCTTTCCCCAGTTTGGAATGATGCCCTCAGGCTCAGCGACCGGTCCTCCCCAAGGCCCGCCATTATCACATCGGCTCATGGCTGAGAAAATCCTTGCAAGGAGGGCTGAGCCTGAGCATTAGCACGAGCTTGGAAAAGGCTTTGGAATTTGGCGAATTCGTATTAGTTGACATTTATATTACAAAATCAGGAAGTTCTGGTCTTCGAGAAAAATCAGACGCCGGAAATTCGAGCCATGGAATCAGCTCAAATTCCTCAATTTCCACATATGATCGTATTGCGGACCCAATTTGCATAATTTGGATTGGCGGCCATGGTCTCTCTTTTTGGCTCTCTCTCTCTCACTCTCTCTGTCATTCTCTCTCTAATTCTCTCTCTCTTTCTCTCACTCTCGCTGTCTGGTTAGATTCGAGTCAATCTGTCGCTTTTGAGCATGAGCAGATTGGTCGAGAGCGAGAGAGAGAAAGAGAGAGAGAGAGATAGAGAGCCCGAAACAGACAGAGCGAGGGAAAGAGCGCGACTGCATGGATCAACTTCCTTCCACAATCCACCCCAGATGGTGCCCTATAAGGCCCAAGACCCCCCAGGGCCTTAACTGCCGTGACCCTCATCCAATTGCAAATCAGCCTCCTTTTATAGCCCAAGGACATGTTCACACGTTTTTTACGCCCCTCACCGCCTAAGAAGTCCTTATCAGAATTGGCCCCCTGGCACCTGATGGCCGCTGGGAGGTGACAAGTGCGAAAAACGGGGAAGAAAGGACGTAGGAAAGTAGGAGACTGGAAGCTGCTTATATTTTGAGGTTTTGGGGAATTAGTCAGCCAACTGGGGTTGCTGATTAGGAGGAGAAGGAAGCTGCAGTATTTAGTAGTTCCACGGAATTTATTTGTATTTATGGAGATTTTTGTGTGTTGTTCATTTTTTTCACTTCTGATCTGATGGAACTAATTTAAAAAACTGGCAAGCGACGGATATGTGGCTCTAGATTTTCCATAAATTTTGCCGAACCGCGAAACGCAACGCGCGTACCAGTTTTTTATAGCGTAAACAATTGATTTACGTAACGGAATACGCTTTGCCTACAGCTGATCTATCGCCAGGCTACTTTGCCAATTCCTTTAACGAGGCCAGGTCACCTTCATAGCCTCCTAGATTCCTTGCATTTCATTTGCCTTTACCGTTTCTTTAAAACCCTCTCACCCGGCTTTTTTTTAAATGTTTTGCAGAACTTGCCACTCCCTTGAACCAAGAATACTTGACCACTTGGCCGGTTGCCGCCTGATTTTCGCTCACCTCCCACATCACCAACCAAGTAGCTACGTCTAGTCACACAGAGACCAGGGCCAAAGTTAGGCCAGAATGTTAAGGACCTCCTACAGAGCTACAAGTATTAGCGGGTACCGGCTGGCTACTCGACACATCCCGTGCGGTACAGGCTTTTGAGTGACCCTACAAGTCAGAGAAAGAGAGTGGGTGTGAGAGAGAGAGAGAGTGAGAGAGAGAGGGGACCCAGAGGAGACTGACGACCCAGTAGGACACCCCGAGTAATTGCGTGAGACTGAAGAGAGATTGAGGGCAGGGAGGAGGTTTCGAGACCGATAGAGTGAGACTGACGAGAGAATGCAAGAGACGGAGAGAGACCAGAGAAACAGCGCAAAGATGCAAACACCCAGCCGCGCCCCCCGGCTGCAACCAGACCACACAGCCACCCCCCTACCCCCAACCAAGCCTGTATATTCATGCCCCCCGCCCCTCGAGCGCTACCCCCAGCGGGGCACCATTTTTGATTTGATTTGATTAGAATTTGGAGCTATGAGACCTTTAATAGCGTTTTCTGTTTTTTTTTTTAATATTCAGTGCTTCAATGTGGTGACATAGCCTCTGGCTTCCATAAGCTCATTTTCAATAAAATTTTCCTAAAGTTTCGAATTTCCGGTGACGGTTTTTGCCTTTTTTTGCAATTAATTGAATTTATTTTTAAACCGTCCCTGCCCAGAAATCATAAATCCTTTCATATCTCTCCCTCAAAAAACCAAACTTTTATGTTTGCTGATTCACCCCGGGATCAAAACTTTCCTCTTCTCCTAGCGTGAATCATCAAAATCTCCCTCGTTTTGTCAGCTAAAAAGATTAGAAGCTCTGCAAATGCCCTGAATTTTGTTGAATTTTCCATTTCTTTCCGATCTGCTGCGAATAGGTTTTTATTGAGGTGCCTCTTTTTGAGAAGTTCTATTGAACCATGTTTTTCGACTATGAATAGCTTTTGATGAGATCATCAACGCTTTATAGATCTTTTTTGACAATTTCCGCTCTATAGATCTCTCTTGCTTCTCTTTCTCTCTCTCTGTCTCTCTCGCTCTCTGGCTTCTTGCCTCTTTTCATGCAAACGATTAGAACTGGCGCCAAAGAAACCGGGACCGTTTTCCGGCTCGTTCTAAAATGCACCGTTCGATGTCCTCCCCTTGGTACTATTCGACGTATTCTCTGAATATCATCCCCGAGGAGCGCATCCCGCGCCCCGATTACGACGACGATCTCGTGGAGTACGACGAAGATGAAGGTAATTTTCGACTTCCGAGTTGAACGATATTTTTTGGACTCGATATTCCAACTGGACTGCTGTATTTGTGTTTTCCTGCCGATTCCCCCAATTTTCTTGACGATTTTTGGCGATTACCATGTTTTTATGGTAACTTCAGAGTACTGTTTGGTTTTGGTATGCTGATTTTTTGCTCAATGCGCATACTTTTATGCCTTTCATAGCGTAATTGGTCCAATCGAGGCCAAATTTATCGATTTTTTTGGAATCTGAAGACGTCGTATACTTTTTTGTCTATTCATGGCTGCGAAAGTTTTTAAGGGATGATTTTAAGAATTTACATTTTATGTTCGATCCCTTTCCTCATTTATTTCTAAATTCGAAATTTTTGTTTGACCGGATGCCTCAAAAAAATGCGCGATGTGCGTTATTTGGCATTTTTTTAATGAAAAACGTCGATTTTTCGGAATTTGCAACATCTTTGGCGGCCGTAGATCAAGCAAAGTATTCGTAGCGTACCACCCGTAAGCCAAATCAGCTCCGAATCAGCCCATTTTCCACCCTCCCGCTGCTCTAGCTGCCCCCTTCCAGAAAAACCTTGTAGTGCCCTTTAGGCCCCTCAGCCGCGGGGACCACTTCCAAGTTCCATTTCTGTCATTTTGCTCGGTCCCTCCATTCCCTCCATTCCTGCGGTTAGGCCTCCGGAAAAGCCTGTTTGTGCGCCGGTTTCCGCGCCCTCCCCCCCATCGGGTCCGAGCCGTTTTTTCGGCTTTTCCAGCGAACCGAGGGAGGCGCGCCCCCAGGGTTTTTTGGGGTCGAATAAGCCTTCAGTCTTTTGAGGCCTACAGCCTATTGTCCACGCTATTGGCCTAGTATTCCAGTCATTTTACGATTCTTGGCCCAGATTTTGGCTCCAGATCTTTACTAATTACACCGGATGTCCATCGATGCGATTAATCGGATTACCAGGAAATTCAGCTACGCCTCGTTTTTGCAAACAGGTGCGGAAATTTGGAAATTAGTGTGTCGAAATAGGGCCATTTACGTCACTTGTGAAGAGGTGCGAAAAGTGTCTCTTTTTGAAAGCTTTTCAAGAAGCGGCCGGGAAGATATATTTTATTTTAATGGACTTTGCAACCGGGGAAAACGTTGTGATCTTGATATTTCGTGATGATAAAAAAATGGCAAGCTAGCAGAGATTCTTTGGGAATTTAGAAATTTTAGATAGCACTTTTTTATAAAAATTTAACGGGTAGCTGGGCAGATATCCGAGGTTCTTTGGGAACATTCGACAACTAGGGACTACGACTACGCAACGCTCCAATGGACACCGCGACTCTTCGGATGTTTCTATCAATTACTTTCTGTTAAACGAATTCGTTGCTAAGTAATTGGCAGAGATTCTTAGGGATACTTCCAAATCTTAGCACGAGGACTACACTATGCTCATCTAAATCGTTGGAAATAATATATTTCGAATTTCCACGACCTTTTCAAGTTACTAAAGCCAGCAGAGACACCTGGGGAAACCTATTCCAAATTCAAATCCACCCGACTACGCTACGCTCCATCTGTCAATGCCCTCCGAGTAATAGGCTAGCGACGTTCGGCCCACACTCCCGACGTGACCTTGTGCTCCTCTATCGGGAGTTCCACTTCTCCCTATCTCTCGCTCTCTCGCCCGTCCTTGTCCCCACCGGCTACTACTATCCACGGAATAGGTGGAGATGATGGTTATGAGGATCCGGCCCTTCCTTGCCTAGCGCATCCACCTCAAAAAACTATCGATATCCCCCTTCTGCCCCAAGGCTATATACCCATCCCCCATCATTACCATATCTATCTGATCGGGTGCCTCCGGTTAGCTGGGGGGATGATTTAGGGGTTTGGGGTTGTTGGGAAGGAATGCTGGAGGGTAGTCAACAGCTCGTGTCGATAGTATAAAGCGTAATACTGATAAAAAAGGGCAATTTGTACTTTGGCAATTTGGCAAAATGTGAGGGCAATAACAAGCAATAAAAATAAGAGAAGGAAGCAGCTATTAGGAGGGAACGAAACATGGTAACTAAGGAGTCCGAGGGATAAGAAGTATTTAATCAAATGTATGGCTCATCGGGGACACATTTAGTAAATTATACTAATGATATTATTTCTAGATGCCCTCGAAGATGGCCGTTACTACCAGACGACCGCCTCGCCGCACTCCAGATTTGGCACCAGCGCCCATAACTTGAGCACGACGCCGTTGTATCAGGTGAGGATTATTCTAAGAGATACAGTGAATGAGAAAGAGAGAGGCAGTCGGATGGACATAGAGGGGGAGAGAGAGAGACAGAGAGAGAGAGAGAGGGCGCGAGAGAGGAGAAAGGCAGGAAGAGAAATTTGTGCGAAATTGGGTTCAGGATCCCTGTTTCCTGTAGTGACGGTCCTTAACTTTCACTAGAGCTCTCCGCCATCTCTCTATGTCTCTCTCTTTCTCGCTTTTTCTCTCTCTCTGTCACCAACATCAACAATTTCGTATCAGTAGGCTTCCAGCACCCGTCCAGTCAATCCAAAATACCGTTCCCACAGTCGGCAACCCGAATTTGGTTTCCCTTGGCGAGAATTATTCACGTTTTCCCGGGACCGTGAATAGGTAGCCCACCGGAATTTCGTGGGACCAAATACCCAAGGGGAAAGGCATGGATAAAAGAAAAATTAAAACTATTAAAAGCCGAGCCCATGAATCTTAACGCTAAATCGTTATTTCAGGAGGGCCCCAGCGTTGCCTTGGTCGAGGAGAGTCAGACGACCCCGCAGCGATTGGCGGTAAGTACTTTTCAGTTAGGAAATTATATTTCTAGGAGCTTCTGAGCTAATTAATAAATTTTAGCGATCTCTATACCTTTGGTATGCCATTAGCTCACCATTCTTAGAACTTCTTCTCACGCCCTTTCCGCACGAACCCGCTGAAACGCACAAAAAGCGTCTCCAAATTGGACCGTCGCGCCCAACCCAGCGATAGGTAAGTAACCGAACTTCCGTATTTTTGGCTCCATGCCAATTTTAAAAGGTATTTTTCTTTGATCCCGTCGTCATTGATCCCGAAACTGTACTTTTGTCTTGAGAGCTATTCTCAGTTTTGAAACCTTCAGTATCCTGCAAAACAAACAGCATCCATTGCTCGCCAGTTTTCCAGTATTTTCAAGTGGTACTTCTGGAAGAGTTGAACTCTTCGGCATGAGAGTCAGATTTGAACTCTACATTTCACTGACTAAATTCCCTCTCCTTAATCCCAAAATTAGCATCCCAGTCTCCCCTTAACCCATTGGCTGCCCCGGATTCTGGCAGCCCAGTGATTGATTACGCTCATTTTCCTCACTTTCCATGCTCTCAACTCAAAAAGCCAAAAGGGGAGAAATTCCGGCCATCACGCACCCTCTAGAAATCTATGGAAATTTTTCCCGATTCCACCCAAAATCCTGCTTATCAGCCGTGCGGAATCTATCGCTCCTCGCGGTGCGATGCGCAAATTGGCGCCTGTGTCGGAAATTTGTATATCCGCTTCCCTCTCTCTCTTCGATTTCTATAGGTCATTAATTAATTTTACGACGTTTTTATCGTTTATAGCCAAGCAATCGATTTTAGGAGCTAGTTTTTTGATTTTTAGGGATTCGTATCATTTTCGTGGCAGCATTAAGTAGGGGAAACCGGTCTTTTCGTTTGTTTGGCGTTGGCATGACCTGCGCATAGCGATAAATCCGGTGGCAGGATTCTGTAATTGGGATGTTCACTTTTTGGGCCCTAACTTTCCATTAGATCGTTCAATTTTTGATTTTTGCGGTTTTGTAGTTTGATTTTTGCAAAAGCTTTTTTCAAACGTTTGAAAAATCTTATCCTAAAAAGTAAAAAATTGTTATTTAGTAAAAATTCTAAAATTGAAAAAAATGCACATTTGTTATTTTTTTGTTCATCATTTAATGTTATTCATTTGATTAGTATTTTAGTGCAAAAATTGATATTGAGGTGTGAGAAATAGCGATCGTTAAGGTAAATTCGGTACCTTGAACAACATTCTATTTTCCATGACCTTTGATCCTCTTCATTCTAGCTCTTTTTCCATTGTGTACGTAACACTCCTACAGACGGGCATGTCCCTCTACGGCTCCCTATCCTCGACAGCATCCAGCCGCCTTGGCCTCGCCCCAAAACTCAGCCTCCAACGGCACTATGAATGGCAGTTCGGCACCCGAGATCTGCCAGACCCCGAAGAAGAAGAAGAGCCAAACGATCGATCCCTCGATCGAAAATCCATAGCCTCACTGCGGTCGACGCGGAGCATGGTGTGTGCCTCGCCTCGGAGAACCCGGCAACCGATCAAGGGGAGGATTATACGAGGGCGTACTGTGTACAATGCGAAACGGTGGGTATGGAAAAGTGAAGTGGGGGATCATGGCGGAGATGGTATCGTTTAATGGAGTGTGTAATGGTCCGGAAATCGATCTATCCGGAAGATAGCTCACTTTTCATGAAGCTTTTCTCGACCCGAGCAGCAAGCACCAAAATCGACCCCCATGAGCCCGAGGTGTCGACAACTACGCGTCGCTCCAAATGCTATTTTTACAAACTTAATCAATATCTGTTTCAATGGACTTTTCACAAAATTGATACCTTGCATAGTTGTCAACGCCTATTGGCGTGGGTCGATTTTGGAAGTTCCGGGCCTTTTAAAAGCATCCCGCGAACAAAAACACCAGGCAGCCCTGGTGTCCTTCCAAAACTATTAAAGTTCTGTCACAATTCCTTTAGACCAAGTTAGGTTTTCTGGCACGCTTCGCTTTTTAGTAGGTTACTTTTCGCATTTCAGACGTTTTATTTTTAGGTCCTTTAACAGG